TACCTTGTTAATTGGGGTTGGAGCCCCAGAGTATCTGCAGCTGTGGCCTTATCTTGCCCTTGGAGGTATCTTTGGCCTCACAGACCACTACAGTCCTAAGCTAGGACTGATACATAGAGGTTCACTTAAAGGCAAGGGGCCTAACCCTAGGACAGACTCACAGATAAATATAGAAAGCCAAGTAGTAAAATTTAAATCCTTCTCAGAGCTGCTTCATAGTGGTCTCAGAGCTGCTTCATAGTGGTCTCCAACAGTTTTGGTCCGTAGTCAGCTGGCTCCAAGGCAAGATACCATGGCAGAGGGGCACCGCACAGAAGAAACAGTTCATGCTGGGCAGAAGGTAGCAGAACAAGTGAGCACTGCTCTCTGATCCTTACACTGTATCTAACTACCGGGATTAGGGCGGTACCAAACCAATCAGTGGACTGACTTAATCACCCACCCTTAGTTCTAGCATTATCATACCCTGAGTCCTAACACTGCACCATTGCACTCTCGATTCAGACGCCTGTGAAAAAGCCCCACCTATGACTGCAAGAGGCTTTGTGGGACATCTGGACTCAGCCATAGCAAGGCACAGGGGAGAGTACCTGTCTGGCATGCACAGGGCTACGTTCTGTCCCTAGCACTGCCAGCACAGGGTGTTCATTAATGGTTTTATCAAACAGCTTCATTAAATTTTCTTAACCTGGCAGCTAAACCCAGTAGCCTTTCTAATAACTTGTTGGTTTATAGCAGACGTACTGAAATGCTGATAGGTTCGAGTTCAGTTTTACCACATACAAATGCATGTATAGAATTTTGTGTTTGTGTGTGTATATACATGTGCATTTATTTGGGATGGTACCCAGGATCTGGAGCATGCTAGAAAAGTGCTGTACCACTGAGCTATATTCCCAGGCCAGTTTCCAACTGTCTAAATAAGTGAGGCTTTTTTGCTGAATTGTTTTAAAGTAAGTTGTACAGTATAATTCCAGGCATCCTAATTCATAGTGCACTTCCTAAGGTAAGGACATTTTTCTATAGTAACTGTCAGTGTGTAAATCTTTGCCCCTCCTTAAGACATCAGCTTTTCAATGAGCAAGGCTGGACTGACCTGTGTGAGGTCTTTTAGTAGAGTAGCCCCATTTCTTTTTTCCTTTTGCTCCTGAGTAGATATGCTCCCTGTATCTTAATTCTGGTTTAAAGATATGTGAGAGATAAATTAATTGTCGTGGTTTCCTTGAAATTGACTGTGCTTTTGGAATGATTGAATCATAAATTGAATGATCAGAGAAGATTGTTTCATGTTGATTAATGAGTGGTCACTAAGCCACTGAAGAGCTTAAGGGGTGTGGGGCTCTAGAGAATTGTTCATCATTATCCAGTTGTCCCTGCTCTGTGTACGAGAGCCCAGGTACCATTTCTAATTTTCAAGAAGGTTAAGAACTATAATTAGATCAAGAACATTCCAATAAGAATAATTATTGAAAAGATCACTTTCTAGGATCATAAAGCCCAAAAGAGCCTGTCAGCATTCTTTCTCAGATACTATTCATAATGTGTAAATAGCTTCACTGTTCTCGTCATGAGGACTTCCATAACATTATTTTTAAAGCCAGGCACTTTGAAAACACAGTGTATGAAAATACACTAGGCCAGTGAACACAAAAAAAACAGTGGGACAGTATTTGACCATCAGACTTACATCTTGTGAAATGACTTTCTCTCTTCTATTATTACATCTGTTTCAAAGGCCTTTAAATAGAGATTCAAAGTTCTGACTGGCTTGTAATTGGACATTTAATGCCTTAGGACTAGAAGTTTGTGTAATTTCCTTAATGACTCATATTTTCATGAAAAAATCAGTCTTCATACAAAAGCTTATCAATTATGTATTTTAAGCTGGGCCTCATGCCCATAATCACAGCACTTAGGAGGCTGAAGCAGAAGGATCACTGTGAGTTCAAGGCTGTCTCAACCCATGCAGCGCCTGAGATTCTTGGGGTGAAGGATTTGAGAGGATGAGAAAATAAAAAAGAGACAAAGCTGGGGTCGGGTGGAGCCTTGTCCTCCTGATGGGAGGAACATACTGCCCAGCCACTGCAGCACCCCTGAAGAAGAATGTCAGTTTCAACCCGACTTCTAACCACTTGTCTGCCTGGCAGCCCTGGGCCCCTGCCTTCTTGCTGCTGGAACAGCTTGTTTACATAGCTTATTTTGGCCTCTCTGTGTTTTCTGGGCTGGCCTTGCTGTAGCCCCACATATGTGATCTATCTCCAGCTTCAATGTCTCCCTACGCAAGCCCAGCCTAAACTACCATGTGAGACACTTTCTCACTACCCCCCGAAAGTGCATTTTAATTTTTAAAATTACTACAATATGTAAAAGACACATTGCCATTAATCTACCTCAAGACAGTCTCTTTTGTTTTAAGCACACTAACCCCATCGTTCTGAAGCATTCTGGAATCCCCTTTCGTGAATATCTTTACGAAGTGTGATCAGAAATCCTCTGAACGCCATCCAGTGGAAAGGCAGAGCCGCAGACATATCTGGCCCAGCCTCAGCCACTGTCCGCAGCCCTAACGCCTCGTGACCTCCGGCTCTTTCTCAGTAAGAATAGCCAGGAAAAATACGCATTTCAGATGGATTCAGGACATCAAGCAGCCACAGCAGTGTGACTAAAGTCACCCTTGTGGGTCTGCTTCAGAAAATGGCAAAACAGTAGGAAGAAGAGTGAGGGGCTAAATTGGGAGGATTAAATGGCAGTGTTTTTTACTGTGTAATAATACTGTTTCCTTTACATTTGGCATAGCTGGGCATGGTGGTGCATGCCTGTATTTCCAGTAACCTGGGAGGCTGAGGCAGGAGGATCCCAAGTTCAAGCCCAGCCTACATAATTTAGCAAAACTTTGCCTCAGAATTTAAAATGAGCTGCGTTGTGGCTCAGTTCGAAGTCCCTAGGTTCAGTCACTAGTATCATCCCTCCAAAAAAAATTTTTGCAGTGTTTTTAATTACACTGCATATAATATATAATCATCTGCCTTTTGAGGACAGTTTTACCAAGTTAGACATTTTGTTTACTTAATGTATACCTCTTGCTATGAATGATGCATGTGTCATTTAAGTATGACTGCTTTTATGCCAAATTGTGCATAAAAATCCTTCTCGCATTAGAGGGATACAGTGAAGAGCAGGACTAATTTGTCAAGGGGTACAATACGTGGGAATCACTGTAACTGCACAAGGTCACATGAAACTTCAGACTGACGAAGGCTTCACAAAGAAAGTGGGATTTAAGATGAGCGTTAAAAAGGAGGTTTAGAATGTTACTGAGCAGATGGGAGCCAGTATTCCCTTCTGCAGAACACAGAGAACAAAGGCCAGAAACAGAAAGGGCAGGTTATTCATAGGTGGAGAGTGAAACCAGTGAGCCACAGTACAGGAGAGAGAGCCGGCTGCAAGGCAGTGGGAGAGAGGAGGGCTGGGGCAGCCGGGCCTCATGGCAGCGTGGACAATGGTTTAAGGTCCCTGCAATGTACCTCATTCTTTGGAGAAAAAGTCAGAATTGATTTTAATAGCACTTGACAAACATTTTGGGTTTAAGTCTTCTTTGTAGTATTAAAAAATAGGAGCCCACAATGCCGCAGTTTATGTCTGTTCCATGTTGATGTTTATTGGTTCAAAAATGAAAACTTGTAAAAAGCACTCCCCTGCACTTTCCACTAGTTGTCTGGTCACTGGCTTCATTGCACATTGTATGGCCACTAAACTTGAGCCTCCACACTTGAGGGAGAGATTGAAACGATAAATAATATACCACATTATGAGCACAAAAATTGGTTTTTATTTTGGAGACCTCCTCCTCCACCCCAACAAGGTTAGCCCAACCATGCTGCAGTAAAAACTGTACCCTTGAAGAATATTCAGTTTGGGGACAGATAAATAAATAAATAGAGCTATAAGTAGAGGCACACAGGAAACATAATTTCACTTGGGTAAGTTAGGGAAGATTTGGCAAAGCAGGTGACCTTTGAAGCAGAGATGAAATAAGGAAAACAGTAAGTATGAGCAGTGTATTCTAGAACAAGTACAGAGAGGCCTATGAGGACGGGCTGCGGCCTCTCAGCCCCGGGAACCGAGCAGAGTAGAAGTAAATCACTTCTGTTTGTGTTGGAAAGCAAGAGCTGGGAGTCTCCAGGTGGGGTGCGGAAGGGGCAGCATGCTTGTGAAGCCATCGGTTTCTTCTTGGGGAGCAGTGTTACCTGCTTCTAACACCCTTTCAGTAAGCACAGGTATTTTGGAAACATTTCGTTTTCCTCCAGTCGGACTTTACCAGTTTTTTCTACCCTTTAAGAAATGACAGCTAGCTCGCGTTGCCTAGCCCATCTGAGCTAAATAAGAATGAGAAAATAGCCAGCCATTTGAATTTCTTTCCTCCCTTGGCGACTATCACCTTTTCACTCCCAAAAGAATGATAAATTTTATTTTTGCAATTAAGTTTATTGGTACATTTAGTTACATATTATGACCACATTCATTATAGGAAATTTGTACCTATACATGATATAACTTGATTCCTTTTTTTCCCATTCCTCTTGAGCCCCCTTTCTCCTCCATATTTACAAAAGCTTTGTTTCCATTTTTTCTTTTCTCATTTTTTCCCTTCCTCCTTTCCCCCTCCCCTCTCCCCAGTTCCCCTTCCCATTTGACTGCTTTCTTTGTATTTCACAGTATCTATTATACATTTTGGTCCTTATTTACACTTTTAGTTTCTCATACCAGAGAATGCGGTATGGCCTCAAGATGCATCCATTTTCCTAGAGTGTCTCAAGCTTCTCCTTTTTTATGACAGAGTAGTAGTCCATTGCTTAACCATCCATCTGTTGATGGATATTCTGTGTCCAACTTTTTGTCAGCCCTATGACTGCTGTGTACAGCTGTGCTTCAGATGCGCTTGCCTTGTGTCTGAATAGTTCTCACCAATTCCAGTATCGCTCTTCCTCTTTTACTTGCAGAAGGAGCTGAAGAGGACAAAATGGAAACGGATACTGACGGTCAGCAGCCGGAAAAGGTAAAGTCGTTGAGGGCATAGCCTTGGGAGTGTAAGGGCTGGACTTGTGCATGTTTTGCTTCCTTCACAGGACAGTGAATAGTTCTGTCAGCTGCTGGGCTTGTTGCTCAAGTTAAGGCTCTCACAGAGCGTGACTTGGCACCCTCTGCTTTTATTTACTTATCGGCTAAAGATTTTGCCCAGCCTGTCCTCTGTGCCTCTTGCAGGCACAGGTGAGACGTAAGCACAGGAGCATTGACTTGTGGGGCTTAGGGCTTGTGACAGAAGAAAATTGCAGACTACTAGGTGATTTCCTTCAAGTTCACTGGCGGCAGCAGAATATTTAGATTAAAATGAATGAGAAGCTGCTTTGTGCAGTAGGTTTTAAGAGACAGAGCTGTTGGAGGACAGAAGCAGTGGCTGGGGAGAGCTAAGCCAGTGCATTTGTCCACACCAATCCAGTGGACACAGGTAGACACAGGCAGTCTCTTGGAGCTACAGCGTGGTGCAGATGCTATGGTCTTGATTACATGAAGAGAGAATGAGGAAGGGGAATAATGCAATGGATACAGCTTCTCCAGTGTCCGAATACCATGCTTGCGTGTTTACATTTATGATTTCATTACTTTTCAAAGCAGTGATAACTGGCCCACCCTGTGCTTTACACTGTGGTATATAATTTGTCCAAATTATAAGCAGACAGTTTCAAAACTAGCAGACAAAAACAAGATGATACCAGCTAATTCCCTGACATTCTTCTGGCCATCCTAACCCTATGGTCCCAGATTGAGCAGGGACTGTGTACTCAGGAGGTGTTATGATCTTGTGTGCCCTTGGGTGTTAAGGTAGTTAAAAAAATACTTCTGAATTCATTAGTTTTCCTGCCAGCCCTTTTACACAGGGCCTTTCTGAATCCAGTGAATCTAGTCCTTTTTGTTTTTGTGATTTGGTTTGATTTTTATTGTTGTTTTCTTTGTTTGTTCATTCGTGGGGTTGTTTTGTTTTTGAGAAAGGTCTTGCTATGCAGTTCAGGTTGTCCTGAGACATGGGGCAGTTCCCCCATCAGCCTACCATTGCTGGGACCATAGGTATGTGCCCCCAGGCCTGGTGCAGCTTTGAGGTAGATAGAAGGGTGTATTTCTGTTTTGTGGTCCTGGGGATTAAACCCAGGGCCTTTGTACTGAGCTGCACACCCATTACTTTATTTGTACTAAGCTACATCCCCAGGGTTTTCCTGAGTCACTAAACTGTTTAAGCTGGGCTTGAATTTTTAGTTCTCCTGCCTCAGCCTCCCAGAGTGCTAGGATTATCATTTTGTGCCACCATACCCAGGTATTCCAATTCTTGTTTAAAATAGTAAAACCTTTCGATAACCCAAGATAATTAAGCTCCTAAAATTACTTTTTGCTTACTTCCTATTCTCTGTCTCTCTCTCTCTCTCTCTCTGTCTCTCTCTCTCTCTTTTAGGCAGAGAACAAAGGAGAAAATGAAACAGATGAAGGTGATAAAGCACAAGATGGAGAAAATGAAAAACACAATGAGAAGGAACAAGATGGTGAAGTTACTGAAGATACCAAATCAGGTAACTTCAGAAGAACCTCGTTAGATTTCCTTTCTGTGTGGTGATGTTTCGAGGCACGCGGCCTGTTTCCTTGGGGTCACTTGAGTTTTTGTGGTACTAGGACTTGAGCACACTGAGCTACAACCCAGCTCAGTTTGTTTTGTTTTATTTTGTGTAGAAATGTTTCATTCTCTGTCTGATTAGTTTTTTTTACTGTTACAATAAACATGCGTATGCATTTGCATTTCACTTAGCAGCTAAGTAGCAGTGCTGACTCTGGCGTCAGTGTTTTGTCTCTTTTTTCAGTAGAGTAGTGTGTCCCCACCACCCCAGTCGCTATTGTACTATCAGCATCAGTCCTGGCCATGGCTCTGTTGTTGGTGTCTCTACAGCAGGGTTCCCGGGGCATCCCACCACCACGTGGCTCATAGATAGACCCTGTTCTCCCAAGTTTCCCTGTGTGGGTTTCAGGGAAGTACTCACGAAGCCTAGATGATGCAGGGGAGACAGAAGAACCGTTCAGAAAGCACAGCCTGTGTGGAGGCAGACTTACATGGACAGGGTGATTCAGCAACACTTGGGAAAGGAATAGGGTGTTGAAGTCTCTTGTAAGGTCTGTGCTCGTGTGTCATGTGACAGAGGTGAAGGGAGATATGTTACCAAGTCCAGGGATGCTAGTAATAAAGTTTCTGCTATTTGTAGAAGAAAAGGAGACTGAAGAGAACAAGGAACTCACTGATGCATGTAAAGACAGAGAAAATGACACCGTGAAGAAGAAAGTAGAGCATGAGATTTCCGAAGGAAATGTTGCCACCGCTGCGGCAGCTGCTCTTGCCTCAGCTGCCACCAAAGCCAAGGTTCGCCTGCAGCCCTTCCAGGACTCTCCGGCGCTCTGAAAGGCCACATTGTTCTTAGCTAATTGGGAACATTTTGTATAAAGAGCCGTGCTCCCGGTAGGGGATGCCTACTTGCTTGAATGGCATTTCTAGGTTAGGAAATGCACAGGAGGAGGAAGAGGAAAGGAGATCTGGTCCTAGAGGGTGACTGACTGCTTGATCCATTCACTGTGTTGTGTAGATTAATGCCGACCGCAGAGATAGATGCAAGGCAGATTCTAAAGTCCCTATAAAGGACCGATTGTCTTTTTGCTTTTAATTTGCCTGCAGAACTTCTGAACCGTTGTTCCAATAATTTCTACCAGATTGAAATATTTATGATTTTTAAGACAAAAATCTGTTTCCCTGTATAAATACTTCACCCTGCTATTGCAGACTGAAAGAAGAGAAGGAACCTAAAATAGCTCTTTTTCTTCTTGCATTTGCCAGCTTTTCTGAGGGTGGTATTTTCTATTTATAGCATAGAATTGGCTGCACACCATATTTAAGGAGACAAGAAAATGTTACTTTCCTGCTTAGTGTTAATTTAGCATTTTGAAGCATTCCAAACATAAGTTTTTTGGATTTTTTTTGAGGGGGGAGGGTTGGTGCCAGTAGTCAAACTCAGGACCCTGCACTTGCCAGTCAGGCACTGTGTCACCACTGAGCTATATCCCCAACCCCATCAATAAGTTTTTGAAAATCTCTTCACCCATCCTCCATTCTACCTCAGAAATACTTTCTTCCAATTTAGATTCCAGTTTCTAGAACATTCCTTTGTTTTATCCCGAGCTGTTCTTGATCCATTGGTAAAGATGTTCTTTCATGGTTTCTAATTCCCTCAAGCCATTCAGCCACATGCACTACTTCTCCATGTGTTTAATCCATGGAGCGTGATTCCTTACAGACCCAGTTCCGACTAGAAAACTGCTGTTCTGAATCCACTGGGCAGGGTGTTTACAAGCCATGTAATGCTCAGGCTGAATGCTTAGCCCAGCTTACTCTTGGTTTATTAAAGTAGCTCTTGGTCCTGTGTGTTCATACTTTCCAGTATTAAGGATCTCGTGATCAGATTTTTTAAAAAATTTGTTTGAAAGGACGTTTGCTTGCTTGTTTTGGTTTGGTTTGGTTTGGTTTGGTTTTGGAGACAGGGTTTCATGGTGCATTTCAGGGAGGCCTTCAGATCATTTTGTAGCCCAGGCTGGCCTCGAAGTCACAGTGATTTTCCTGCCTCAGCCTCTCAAGTGCTGGGATTGCAGGCATTGTGTCACCGTGCCCACCTCAGCTGGACATACTCTTTTGCCTCACATCCCCCTGCAAGTTCTTTTGCTTAAATGAGTAGTGATGTGGGCACCAATCTGACTCTTCCTCATTTCTCTGATTTTTCTCTTCCACTAGAAACATCTATGAATATTTGCTCTCAAGTGAGCCACTTTTCTAAACTATTTTGTTCTTGCCATTCTGCTGAACAGAATCCATGGTCGTCATCTTATTGCCATCTAAAATTTTTGGACGCTCTTCCTCTATAGAGTTTGGTTCTTTCATTCCTCCTTCCTGTTGCATCTACCTTTTATGCACTGTGGTATGGCTTTAATCTCTGTTGCCTGCGAAGCAACTAACTAAGGTAGGCCCAAGAAGTTTCATGCATTCTTTGTGACATGTTTCTAGGACCTCATACTATTAATTCCTGCAGCTTTGGGCATATGAATGTGTCTGTTATACACTGCTGATAATCTTGGGTCAATTGTTTGACTCCTTCACTGCATAGAAACCACTTTGATGAGTCCTTTAGCCTGGCCCCTTGCCATCTCATACAAAGTCTAGCAGAATGTCCAGAGCACAGTGGGAGGAGGCAGTACCTGAGTTTGCACTGCCTTATCATCAGCTGCACTTATCTCTACTAAGTGAGAGGTTTATATTTTCATTCCCTCATGTGGAGATAATGTTCGTGCGCTAAGGCTTTGTGCACGGGAATTGTTGAATGCCGGTGACAGCTGTATGTGTTTTAATTCACAGTGTGTAGTCATCATTGTGTTACATGGTAATCAAGGAGTGAGGAATTCACTTGGATTACTGTAATTACTATAACTTACCCAACTAATCCAAGTTTCTTTTACCCATTTTATTCTGTATCTATAAACAGATTGCTATTAAGAGTTTGTCATTCCCTGGCATGGAGTGCTAATTAGAGGCTCTAGATCTTGCTCCTGAACAGATAATGGCATTCCCTATGCTTCTGCTGTCCTTGCCATAGGAGAGACTGTTGAAAAGTGAGTTGTGTTTTCAGTTGCACACAGTAAGCTGTGCACGGCCCCATGTGAAGAAGAGGTGGCCAGGAGCTCCAGTGGCTCCCATCTGGGTAACTAGCCTTGGAAGGAAGGAAGGCCCCAGAACTCTAGGTGTAATAAACGAGAAGCCCCAGAACCTAAAACATGTTCGCCTCTGCTTGACAGCAGGAGTGTCAGTTCTTCCAAGGAAACAGAGATCACATTTCTTAAACAAGATGTTTCCTTTGGATTTGCTCACAAATCTCTCCATACCCTTCCACATACCCAACAGCAGCAAAAGTAGGCTTAGTTCCTAGGAACTGGGTGTCCACTCTAAGCCAGTAGAACACACTTCCCTTCAGAAACATTCCTCAGCTTGTGTCTACCTCCTTCTTCATAATGGGCAGACTGTCACCATACCTTTGCATTGATATGGAGCACACCTGGATGGAACCTTGCTGTCATAACCTGCCTGGTCACAAACTGTGTACCTATCTCCTGCTCACAAAATAAATACCCCGGAGGCACCTGTGCCCTGTGGTACAGAGACTGGCAGGCCCAGGGAGGTTCCTTAGGAGTGATTATTCATGAGTGACATTGAAGGATGGACAACACTTTGAGTGTTGGTCACCAGTTTCAGGTTTGGGGACTAACATGACAGTGATAAGTCGCGGGAAGGGTAACCACACTCTGGTTCATCAGGGGTGTGAAGGCAAGGCCCACCGCAGTCAGGATTCCTAGCAGTTTTGCAGTCTTGCCGTGTGCATATTCCCAGTGCCCTGGTCAGGGCCGAGAGTTCCTTCTGCCCTGTCCACGACTTCAGAGTCTCCCTCCTTTTTCCTGGCTTTGCTGCTGAGCAGCTTTCCTGGCCTACTTGCTGCTTGCTGCTCTCTCTTTCAGTGTACATACTCTTGTCACTTCAGTTCAAGTGGTATAACTGAAGATGCTGTAGGATTTCTGTGTTCACATGTACTCTGCATGGTACAAGAGCCACCATTATATATTCATTCTTGGTCCTTTTTATGCTTAAAATTTTATCATTTTGGAGGAATCTGATTTCCAACTGCAGTAGTAGTAATGCAAAGAAGTCAAGGTGACATGAAGGTGGTGCAGAGCACAATTGATGAAGTGGGAGAATGATCAGAAACCAGCACTGCAGGGCAGTGCTGCCACCTGGGCAGACACGGGAGGGACAGTTCTTCGGCAGTGGTCACACTTTTGGCAGGGACCTGGTCGGACAAATCAGGTGCTCAGCAGGTGTGGAGCAAGGCCTCCAGAACGAAGGGGATAGGAAAGTAATGGCTAAGTAGAAGCTTGGCAAGGCCAATGGAAGATGTTGAAGAAGCTCAGCAGTAAAAGAACACAGCAGGGCCGCTGGCCCTCGGCTCTCCTGCCTGTGGGTCGCCAGAGGCGCGCCCTTGCATTCCTGGCAGCTCCACTCAGATACCCATAGTGAGGCAGCTGCCCACCCTCAGCTCGGGCTTTGTGGGTCCCCTCTGGACTTGATCTTTGTCCTGAAACTATTTCTTAGCTCCACAGCTGCCAGATACCAGGAACATTTTCTTTCACATCATGCTCCTTTATTCTCCTCCTAATTTCTCCCAGAAGAGTGAACGTTTTCTTCAAGTCCTCTTTTTGCCATTTTTTTTTTAACTTTTTATCGGTACCAGAGATCAAACTCACGACCGCCTGCTTGCAAGGCAGGTACTTATGCCACTGAGCTAAATCTCCAGCCCCCTCTTTTTGCCATTTACAAAACATAGGAAAAGAATTTTTCATCCTGCTGGGACTTTCCATGTCACTAAAGGTGTCAGGTTTCCTAGGCTTTGTGCTCCAGTGTCACAGTGTGATGAGAGTTCCCACTCTGTCTTTAAAATTCTCTTATTAAATTTCATTATTTTATGAAGTTTGAACACTAGGCAGCGAGGCCATTGTGCTCCACGTGGTATCAGCGGAGTCCATAGTGCCGCTCTCCTCACACCTGGGTTCTCCCTGTCCTCTGCGTGCAGCTGGCTCCGTTTTCTCTTGACATTTCCTCAGGGTCTTGCAGTAGCGTTACTGTGCCATTCACATGGCAGCTGTGGACTCCAAGGAAACTGTCAGAGACACAGCACAGACGTTCCTGGACACCACTGGTTTCTGTCACACAGGCAGGCAGTCTGTCCTGACCCTGCCTTCAGATGGAACCAATAGCCAGTGAGTTTATGGCCACACCATAGGTCTCTAATAATTAAGAGGCCTGTGGATTTGGTTCCATTTATGTCACTCACTAAGCTCTTAGATGAGTAACATAATTTTCTGAATTGGTAGCATTTTATTCGAATTAGAAATCCTTTCCAACAAAACTGTATGAATTTATCAAACTGAAAAATTCTAAGCCAGGTGTAATGGCTCACCATCATTTGGAAGGCTGTGTGACATATCTGAACCCCTCCCCCCAAAAAAACCATTTTTTAAGCTGGAAATTTTCATCCATTGATTGTTTTAGCCACTATTTCAGTGTGGCAGACCTGATGCTAAGCGTTGGATTTACTTTGAATCCCGAAAGCATCTGGATGGCGCGTATCTTAGGAGCTTTCAGTCAGCACGTGAACCCCGAGCCTCACACTTGGAAGTTGAGCCTTAAACTGTGTATTTGACAATGAGTATACATAAAGTGCTGGAAACATAACCTTGAGGAACGGGTCTGTTAGGCGAAGTCTAGTTATCTATTAT